GACGAGGAGGTGACAGGTGACAATGCATTAACTTGTACCTCGGAGTCAATTATGTTATAGCTATCCACCAATTCGAAACTTTGTTGCAAGTACAATATATATAATTGACGTCTCTAGAATAAACGTCATCTCACCGATTGCAATGACGTTGAATGCAGATTGACCAAGATCACCACTACAGATGAAGTGTACATTATGTCAGGTTTGCTGAAATTGTTTCCATATAAAAATATGGAATCAATATCCTTTCATAGTCGAACGAAATACCCTATTTTATGTTTGCTCACAACATGAATAAAGGAACAGCGTATTGATTTTTTTATTTGAATTATTTCCACTTAATTAAGGTACGTATAGTCGTTCCGAAGAATTAACCTAATAAGATAGTTACTGTTCATTTTGATATTTTTTCATTTCACCAAATACGGATTAAATTTGATTTGTTGTTGATAAACATACCCACATGAATGTCTTTATAAAATGAACTCTAAATAATAAGTTGATTATATAAAAATACAAGTATGAAAAACGGAATGATTGAAAGAGTTACTGGTGAATGTTAATTGATTGTGTATTCGAAAGCTTTAAAACAATGCCATAATTTTGGTAGCATCCAATAATTTACGTTATGATACTTCAAAACATTAGTTAAAACATGTGCAATGGGCATATCGGAAATATGGTAATTTCATAGCAGCTTGATATCTTATGCTAACTGACAAAATTCAATAGCAATTACAATTGATCACAAAGCAAATTTAAAATGCCCACCCACACTCACTTTAGTTTACATATCGACAGAGTAGAAAATAAGCATACATGTGCTAGATGGAATCCATGTGTAATGACGCTGTTTCTGTCTATTAACCTAGTTCGTTTTCATTTTTGCTTCACAGAGATGTTATTTATTTTTTACAATTCATTTGTAAAGTTATACAGTGAATATATAAATACATTAGTCCTATACACCATATCACATACATTTGAGTTTGTTCACATTGAACTTGATTAAGCTGTTTCATGTAATTATTTAACACAGCACCACCATTCAAACAACAACAACTTGTCTGTACCATGGTGTTTTTATTATTGGTGAGCTTGTATGCACGCATGTATGCTTAAGCATTGCTTATCATCAACGCACATATTCATTGTACTGGCTTTAATGATTGTTTGTCTAGAATGGTCGTTTACAGTATAGACTAATCGTTAATTCTCATTACAGTATTACTGAGATTGCTGTTTTTTTACTGAAATTATAAATCAATTATTGTTAGTGCAACATTTCTTAATGCATTATGTGATGTTTAAAATTAGCAAAATATTAGTCTTGTAATCAGAATTAAATGTAGTTTTATTATTTCTCACTAGAACATAAAAAAACGTGGAATTCTATGGAAAAAAAAAACTCCTTTGAACGAACTTTTGATGCAGTAACATGCTTATAAATGTTGAAATCTTACTCAATGTGCCACTGAGAAAAAAGGAAGCCCTTTTTTTCCTCTGCTCAAACTGTTTGTATGAAGTCACGTGTATTACGGGACAATTGAAGAAATTAAAGTTCGTCAATACATCAAAATATTCATTTTTCAAAACAAACTAAACATTGACTGTTTCAATCCGATCGACTAAGATTTATCGAGACAGGTAGGAATTAGTAAATAAATGAATTGTGCGATCCAGAAAGTATAAGTAGAATCACGTAACTGTTAAAAAACAATAATTACGACGAACTAATACAAACATATTGGACAGATAAATGATACAAAATAGAAAAAAAATGCACCATTGTCATCATTGTTAATATGCACAAGTTATCCAAGTGTACTTCACCGGACTCATTTTAAATTGTTAGTAAAAAATCTCAATTTTCAGTTGTTTTTCGAATTGGCTTCAAATAGCCACATTTGCAACGGATTGATAGTGTCACTGATATAAAGCTTTGTGCATGAAGAAATAGTTTTATCACCTCTCTGGGAGCAGACTGAATAATTCAGCATAATTTATTCACCTTTCTTCCATTGAACTAGACCCATCAGCATTGATAACGAATTCTTTGACAACGAATCAGTAGACGACGCATGCAGTTGAGATTAATCCCATTCGTTTTGTACTTGGATAGATATTTCTTGATGTTTGATTTCTCATACTCACCTGAAACTTTTACGTTTTTCTACAGATATTTTTTTCATCAATTCCATTCTTCTTGTTATTTCGGTCAAGCAATCTCATGAATATTATGCAAAATGGTGCCCTGTATGAAGTTTGTTTCTATTTTAACTCCTTCATAGGTAATCGTTATGTCGGTGGCAGTTTCACGAATGATGATATCAACAACATCTGTAATAACTTTGAAGAATATATATTTGTCAGAAACATATAGCAATTGATTTTAATGATTATCCACAGAGTTTATTAAATAATGCTTGCTATCTTAGATATATGTGAGTCTCATCTATTTTTGTATGCTGGTTTAATTTCATAGTGATCTTGTTAAGTTTGATTAATGTGAATAGGATGTTTACTGCTTACTGTATTGCATTCCATATGTTGTGTTTCTACTGATTAATTAATTCTTGTTTAGAATCTTTGTTCAATATTTGATAATGAAATGAAGTTGCATATTCATAATGATAAACTGGTTCTGATTAAACTATTGCAGCTAAATCGCATTTCCATGATAACCATTAACTAATATGATAATGAATTCATATAAGTCTCAGAGTAGATGTTGTCAATGATAAACAGTTATTTACTGTTTATTGTCACTTGTTCTGATGTCTTATTATATAAAAAAAAGTTTAAGAAATCTATAATTGAACATTCTTGTGAAATTTTCATTCTTACATTAACAATAAACTTAAACAAAAGTAATGGTTTAAGAATAGATGAGATTGTTTCCCGACTGGTTCTAACAGCATCATTGAGTTGATGAAATCAAGCTTCATTCATTGTCTTCATTTAAAAAGATTGTTATTCATGTGACATGTTAACATTTCACATGCAAATCCAATTAAAATTAAATTTATTAATATGTAATGAAACACTTTAGCCTTTTTTTGTCAATATAACTTTGTTAAGTGTAAAAGGTAGTTAGAAATTTTTCACAATGTAATCATAAAAACTCAAAAGATCATCAGTATTAATATAAATTCAATTGAATACAAATCATTAAGACATTTCGTTAGTTGTACGTACTATCATTTGTCTGTTATACTAATAGCATATAGAATGAGGCTGTAAATAAATTCATGCTGTGTTTAGTGCATGTATGAACTAGCCCAGAATTTTCGAGAGATCATTTAATGGAAAAAAAAAATAACTACCAACCAAACATACACAATGCTGTGGACCGAACATAAGTAAGAATGTTTCGTATTTATTTTTCACCAGTCAACATTCCCAAAAGCTGTGTATTTCTCTCTATGTTGTTGTTCTGATAAGGCTTTTGAGTAAGATTATATCACAGTTCGATTGTTTCGTTAATAAGACATGTATTATTGGAGATTTTTACAGTCGCAGTTTAATAATTATCTGAATTAACAACGATGGTTCTTCAACATGCATTTCCAGTGTTTTGAATGGAAACTAAGATAGATCTTAAACTGTGGATTGAGTAGTGCGGAATTATAAATTCCAATCGATATAGCTACATAAAAATAACAGCTAGTTCAAGTTTCCATGCTTAAACTGCCTAAACAACATTTCAAGTACCATTTCAGATGTATATGTTTGATGATTGATACATGACATATAATAGGATGAGTAGTCAAGTTGGATAAGCTACTGAATAAGCTACTTTGTTATCGTCGAATTTCCATGTGTTATCCTGTAAAATAAACCAGATCTAATGCAAATATGTAACAAACAAAGAAATGCTTTTGCAAAAAGTTACTCGACTCCACTAATTTACTGATTACGTTCGCTTCATGTGAGTAACCCAAGTCAGAGGGGCATGAATAGTGCTAATGATTTACTATGTATCTTGCAAAGACACTTGTACAATTAAAAATCAGCTGGAGATTATGGAGTAGAAAAAAGGTCACTTGGATAACATCGCTATTGTCAACAAATATCAATTAGATTGATAGTATTGATGGGTAATTCGATCTTACTAGTTTAATTTTGCCATTGGTATTTCAAGTAGAAAAGAAACCTTTATTTTCTTTGAAGCTAGTTCCGAATTTCTCAACATTTACGAATTGTTATATTTATGTACATAAAAGAAAAGTATATATTTTAGTTAATAACATGCGAAATACATTCGGAAGCATCTGTCATGCTCATCCACCTTGCGAAATCTGTTCATTCAACTAAATGTGAAGTGGAGTAAAGTTGTGACTGATGTTTCCTATATACTGGTCACAGAAACATTATTTCACATTGGTTATCAGTATCTACAGTTGATTCTGGCTTAATTGATCGGTAGATTCATCTCTCAATCTGGCATTGATATGACTGATGTTGTCAACTGCTAAAAATTCAAATTTGGACGGATACCATCATTATTACTATATTTTTTATGACATTGAAAATCATGCCCGGATGTACAGAAATTTCTTTTCAGTTATATAATACCTAATGATTACTAATAGTAATTATATTATCTAGAAATTTGCAATGGAATCGAACTTTGATGTATGCTATGTCTAAGTTTCTTCTCTACAAGAAACATGAAGCAATAAAATCATTGCATACTTTACATCCACAATGTGCAAACAATAAGAGTTTAGAAATTTTACACAAATTGTAGACGTGATTAGTTTCTTACAAACGTCACAGAGTGAAATAAAACAATGCGGTTTGTTAATGAGTGAATATTATTATGCGAACGTTAGTTGTTTCACTCAGAATATTGGCAAATCCTCATGCAATAAAAACACATTTATTTTTTCATCTCAACATGATTAAACATCGTTCAAGTTTTATTGACAAACAATCTGACAATGTCTGTACAGTGTTGCATAAAAAATAATGACTCATTGTTTCACATGTGATAATCAAAGTGCAATTTTGTAAACATGACCGGCTGCATTATGAATTTTCGTAGGTCGAGGTTCTGTTAGCACCCATTCATACCACACATATCGACTATTTACATTACGCCAGAGATATAAAGTAGTCTTATCTCCAGAGTGAACATGGACCGGATACTCAAACGGAAATACCAACGGAAACCAAGATACCATTTGAGGGCTATGTCGATCAGGATGTGTACCTGTAAAAATAAAAACAGAATATGAAATTCGTATGCTAATGTTGGTCACAATAATCGTTTGTGACTTTGAAAATTCTAGTGAAACAGGTCTTCATTTCACGGTTAGATTCATGCAGTATTACAAGCCATTGTCGCATGAAGGTGTTAGATAAACAGCCACGTACAATAAGGTTTTATAAGTCACAGAAGTACTTTCGTCCAGTTTGTAGGACTGCTGAGAAACTTTCAGCACTTAACTAATGACAGTAATTTTAGCTACCCTAAAATGCGTTCTGCAGACACTGCGTCAAAGTAGAACTGCCCAAATATAATTGAATAAAATAACAAATGACTTGGCAGAGATGCACTAGTTGCTAAAACTATAATGAATAGGAGTTATTAGCCGAATGTCAGAAGTTGCTTACACATTTAGTCTGACCAATTGTCCAATGCTGACATTCAGTAATACGTACAAGATGCTGAATGCTCAAGCAACATTAAGAGTTTCTTAAATTTAATTAAAAGCATTAATAATTATACATGCATTTGGTTTATGTTCAGGCTCAAAATACAATCGCTTATTTAGACCTGTTATCCATCGGTCAGGAATCTCAAAGCTATTCTGCCCTAGGCGTTACTTTCCAAATATTTTCAAATGCTGTTTTTTTATTCTTTTGATGTCCACCCCCGACTATCAATGCATTGTTTCTTTCCTTCTCCTTTCGGTTTGTAGCTCCATCTTCAGTGATTTTCCCTAATTTCTTCTTCAGCTGGAGGAGTCTCGTCTTTTCGTTACCTCAGTAGCTTGTTACTGATGATATGTATCTTCCGACAAGCAAATCCGTAGTATCTGGCGTAGATAAATGTTTAGGAATACTGGTGTCCTTTGGATGATGCTTCTCGTAGTTTTACAAATTCCCGTTTCATACAATAAAACTTTCTTGACAGTTGTATTGAAAATTTTCATTTGTTGTTTGTTGTACAGGTGTTTGAATGCAAGATGTCTTTTAATTGTAGCAATACTGCCTTTCCTTTGTTAATGTATGCCTCTACAGCTGAAACAGATACGAGGTCTACGGCATTTATTCACTCATATTCAGAAATAGAACGTGGAAAGAAATGCAGTTTTCTTGAATAATGAGTCAAAAAAAATCTAGTTTTATGCAAAAGCAGTGAAACTCTGAACAGTCCCAAATTTATTTTGTAATAGTTTGTATATTCCCGTTGTTGATGTTGATGTTGAAATAAAACTCATGATAATTTGTATTTAACTTACTCAGTGTTATGTCCTTATAGAGAATTGCTTCGAAATAACCAGCTATTCGATGTACAACAGCGTCTTGTTGAATGGTAAAACTGCAACATACTTCACGTGCATACGACTGATTTATTGCTAAAACAAAAAAAAAAATAAAACTGAATGTCTCTCTCATAGTTCGATGGGAATAACAAAACTCAAATAAGTAAAATCTTATAAACATATGCTTATTCACCCACCTTTTTTTGGATGTTCAAATGTAAAAGCTGGTTGAGGTGAACTCAATAGTTGACAATTACGAAGTCGAACAACATAAGGCGTTTCCATGGAATACCCAATTCTTTTTTTCTTTAATATCGAAGAAAAATATATATATATATATATACAAGTAATAGAGTATAACATCTATCAAAATTATCTATCTTTCGATTGAATAGAAATGATAAGATAGGCAGATATTATTTGTCATAGCTTGATTTCATCGTTTATGAAGGATGTTACATCTTCGGTTGAAAATAAGGCTTTGTTTGTATTAAAACAATACACTAAAACACCTGAATATACACTAATGCAAAATTTTCAATCTATCTAGGCTTTCAAACTTATCTCTAAATAATATGATTTTGAATGATGATACCATCGATTATATTTGTGTTTCAAAATGGATATGAAAGCTAATCATTTGTGCAGTGATTACTTTTTTTTTGTCACAATGAACTCTAGTAAACACTTCATCACCGGCCTACATTCAAGTTCGAACGCAGTCAAAGAAAGCGTTAATTTCAATCTCAACATGCTTTATTTTCATATCTGCTAAAATAGACATGGTGATGCTCGAAGAATTCATCGTTTAGAGTAAAAAAAAAAAGACCAAAATACTTTTTATTGTCAGAAGAAAGCTGTACATTTATAAGTGTACATATATTCTCGATATGGTCGTAGTCCATGAAGCATACCATTCTGTTTTTACTTCATCAGATGATTTGAGGCTTGTGTATAAATAATCTTATATAAGTGATATTAAACTGGTCTATCAAATATAAAAAGTTTTTAAAGATATGTTAAGGTTGTAGTGAAATGAGAGCGTTTGTGCACATGTTATTTGTTACTTTTGAAACGTTGCAGAAACGTAGCAGTGCTGTTATACAATACAAAAAAGAAATCTCTACCTGCAGCACAAACATACAATTTAATAAGTGAAAAGTTTTTATTTTGCAGTTTATTTTCTAGTTTATTTTCTCTTTAAAATCAGTAGAAAATCTGTAGCCTTTGCAATCCTACATTAACCGTTACCATGCATCAAATCATGTTTCTTGTGTTTTTCAGTATTAGAGCTTACTGAAATATAATCCATCAAAAAAATTTCCCAGCGTCTGTTCTATAGCAGATTTACTTGTTCAATTGCTAATCAGAACTATGCTGAAATGTAGTTTACTGAATCAGTCAGTTGCAACGTGGAACTTCGTACGTTGCCATGTTGCCATACACATTAGCACAGAGACGCAAATGTCAAATCAAACCCCATGGTGATAAAGATAGTAGAAGTATTAATGGTAATGAAGAAGACTAGGGTTTGAAGATATTATTCAAGAAGTATTATTCAGTGAGATAAGTTTAGAAAGACAAAGGTAGAGGTGTTGACGAATCCAGAAGATTAGGATTCAAGGGAACACAAAGAGTGGATGCATTTGTGCCATTGCAAACGATTTTGAGCCCTGTCATTCAAGGTCTCTAACCATTGGTGAATTTCTTCTCGCCGAACCCAAACATGTAGCCTACATCTACCAAAATGACTCAGTCAACTTGTCAGTCACTTCATCGATTTCTGCCATGTTTTCGTTCGGCCGCCCCTAGCTTTTGAGATGGTGGAGAAAATTTGTAGCTCAGGTGGATGATTGTGGTGGTGTTTCGTTCTCTGAGCTGGTCGTTTCGAACTTCGTGCTGATGATGTTGTTCAGAAGAACAATGAAAGCTCCACAACCAAAACAACCAGCTCAGAGAACGAAACACCACCACAATCATCCACCTGAGCTACAAATTTTCTCCACCATCTCAAAAGCTAGGGGCGGCCAAACGAAAACATGGCAGAAATCGATGAAGTGACTGACAAGTTGACTGAGTCATTTTGGTAGATGTAGGCTACATGTTCGGGTTCGGCGAGAAGAAATTCACCAATGGTTAGAGACCTTGAATGACATGGCTCCAAACCATTTACAATGGCACAAGTGCATCCACTGTTTGTGTTCCCTTGAATCCTAATCTTCTGGATTCGTCAACACCTCTACCTTTGTCTTTCTAAACTTATCTCACTGATTTATACTTCTTGAATAATATCTTCAAACCCTAGTCTTCTTTATTACCATTAATACTTCTATTATCTTTATCACTATGGGGTTTGATTTGACATGTGCGTCTCTGTGCTAATGTGGTATGGCAACATGGCAACGTACGAAGTTCCACGTTGCAACTGACTAATTCAGTAAACTACATTTCAGCATAGTTCTGATTAGCAGTCGAACAAGTAAATCTGCTATAGAACAGACGCTGGAAAATTTTTTTAACAGATTACACATCAGTAAGCTTTTATACTGAAAACACAAGAAACATGATTTGATGCATCATAACGGTTAATGTAGGATTGCAAAGGCTACAGATTTTCTACAGATTTTAAAGAGAAAATGTCTAGAAAATGAACTGCGAAATAAAAACTTTTCACTTAATAAATTGTATGTTTGTGCTGTAGGTAGAGATTTCTTTTTTGTATTGTATAACAGCACTGCTACGTTTCTGCAACGTTTCAAAAGTAACAAATAACATGTGCACAAACGCTCTCATTTCACTACAACCTTAACATATCTTTAAAAACTTTTTATATTTGATAGACCAGTTTAATATCACTTATATAAGATTATTTATACACAAGCCTCAAATCATCTGATGAAGTAAAAACAGAATGGTATGCTTCATGGACTACGACCATATCGAGAATATATGTACACTTATAAATGTACAGCTTTCTTCTGACAATAAAAAGTATTTTGGTCTTTCTTTTTACTCTAAACGATGAATTCTTCGAGCATCACCATGTCTATTTTAGCAGATATGAAAATAAAGCATGTTGAGATTGAAATTAACGCTTTCTTTGACTGCGTTCGAACTTGAATGTAGGCCGGTGATGAAATGTTTACTCGAGTTCATTGTGACAAAAAAAAGTAATCACTGCACAAATGATTAGCTTTCATATCCATTTTGAAACACAAATATAATCGATGGTATCATCATTCAAAATCATATTATTTAGAGAAAAAGTTTGAAAGCCTAGATAGATTGAAAATTTTGCATCATTGTTATATTCAGGTGTTTTAGTGTATTGTTTTAATACAAACAAAGCCTTATTTTCAACCGAAGATGTAACATCCTTCATAAACGATGAAATCAAGCTATGACAAATAATATCTGCCTATCTTATCATTTCTATTCAATCGAAAGATAGAATAATTTTGATAGATGTTATACTCTATTACTTGTATATATATATATATATATTTTCTTCGATATTATAGACAAATAGAATTGGGTATTCCATGGAAACGCCTTATGTTGTTCGACTTCGTAATTGTCAACTATTGAGTTCACCTCAACCAGCTTTTACATTTGAACATCCAAAAAAAGGTGGGTGAATAAGCATATGTTTATAAGATTTTACTTATTTGAGTTTTGTTATTCCCATCGAACTATGAGTGAGACATTCAGTTTTATTTTTTTTTTTGTTTTAGAAATAAATCAGTCGAATGCACGTGAAGTATGTTGCAGTTTTACCATTCAACAAGACGCTGTTGTACATGGAATAGCTGGTTATTTCGAAGCAATTCTCTATAAGGACATAACACTGAGTAAGTTAATACAAATTATCATGAGTTTTATTTCAACATCAACATCAACAACGGGAATATACAAACTCTTACAAAATAAATTTGGGACTGTTCAGAGTTTCACTGCTTTTGCATAAACTAGTTTTTTTTTGACTCATTATTCAAGAAAACTGCATTTCTTTCCACGTTCTATTTCTGAATATGAGTGAATAAATGCCGTAGACCTCGTATCTGTTTCAGCTGTAGAGGCATACATTAACAAAGGAAAGGCAGTATTGCTACAATTAAAAGACATCTTGCATTCAAAACACCTGTCAACAAACAACAAAATGAAAATTTTCAATACAACTGTCAAGAAAGTTTTATTGTATGAAACGGGAATTTGTAAAACTACGAGAAGCATCATCCAAAGGACACCAGTATTCATAAACATTTATTTACACGAGATACTACGGATTTGCTTGTCGGAAGATACATATCATCAGTAAAAAGCTACTGAGGTAACGAAAAGACGAGACTCCTCCAGCTGAAGAAGAAATTAGGGAAAATCACTGAAGATGGAGCTACAAACCGAAAGGAGAAGGAAAGAAACAATGCATTGATAGTCGGGACTGGACATCAAAAGAATAAAAAAACAGCATTTGAAAATATTTGGAAAGTAACGCCTAGGGCAGAATAGCTTTGAGATTCCTGACCGATGGATAACAGGTCTAAATAAGCGATTGTATTTTGAGCCTGAACATAAACCAAATGCATGTATAATTATTAATGCTTTTAATTAAATTTAAGAAACTCTTAATGTTGCTTGAGCATTCAGCATCTTGTACGTATTACTGAATGTCAGCATTGGACAATTGGTCAGACTAAATGTGTAAGCAACTTCTGACATTCGGCTAATAACTCCTATTCATTATAGTTTTAGCAACTAGTGCATCTCTGCCAAGTCATTTGTTATTTTATTCAATTATATTTGGGCAGTTCTACTTTGACGCATTGTCTGCAGAACTCATTTTAGGGTAGCTAAAATTACTGTCATTAGTTAAGTGCTGAAAGTTTCTCAGCAGTCCTACAAACTGGACGAAAGTACTTCTGTGACTTATAAAACCTTATTGTACGTAGCTGTTTATCTAACACCTTCATGCGACAATGGCTTGTAATACTCCATGAATCTAACCGTGAAATTAAGACCTGTTTCACTAGAATTTTCAAAGTCACAAACGATTATTGTGACCAACATGAGCATACGAATTTCATATTCTGTTTTTATTTTTACAGGTACACATCCTGATCGACATAGCCCTCAAATGGTATCTTGGTTTCCGTTGGTATTTCCGTTTGAGTATCCGGTCCATGTTCACTCTGGAGATAAGACTACTTTATATCTCTGGCGTAATGTAAATAGTCGATATGTGTGGTATGAATGGGTGCTAACAGAACCTCGACCTACGAAAATTC